ATGTCTGTATCCCAGAGCCCTGTTGTTCCGAGGTTTTGCATACATCATTATTTGCCTCTGTCCCACTTCAGCTTCACATTCATCCTATCGTATTTCATTTCATTGCAATGATTAAAACCCCCTCTGTACATCATCAAATCCTGTATAGATTTTCAAGGAGCGGCTGGTGGGTTTGCTCTGTTGACCTTGGGTTGACAGTCCAGTGCTTATCTTGCAGTGCTACACCAGGACTCTTTTGTTGTTGTTGTTAGGTGCTATCAAGTCGGTGCCGACTCATAGTGACCTTTTGCACAGCAGAATGAAACACTGCCCACAACCTCATTATTGTTGCCACACTTGAGCCCCTTGATGCTGCCACTTGGCCAATCCATCTCACTGGGGGTCTTCCTCTCTTTCTCTGACCCTCCACCTTACCAAACATGATATCCTTCTCCAGCAATTGCTCCCTCCTGACAATATGTCCAAAGTGTGAGAGATGAAGTTTGGCCATCTTGGCCTCTAAGGAGCACCCTGGCTGCACTTCTTCCAAAACGGATCTATTGGTTCTTTTGGTAGCCCATGGCACTTTCAGTATTCTCCTCTAACACCATAACTCAGAAGCATCAATTCTTCTATGGTCTTCCTTATTTACTATCCAACTTTCACATGCATATGAGGTTATTGAAAATATAGGCGCACCTTAGTCCTCAAGCCGACATCTTTGCTCTTCAACACTTTAAAACAGTCCTTCAGGTTTCTGTAAATAATGTTAGAACTGGAAAGCCAATATATTACAGATGAGGAAACAGACTTGCCCAAAGTCACACAGCCAGGACCAGACAGGCTTCTGAGTCTTTGCCGGCTGCTTTTTTGTTACACCGTGAAAACTTCCATTTAACTGTCTCTTCCCCCACAGCTGCCTCTTAATATCCTCTACTTTCCCCTTCTTTTCACTCAGGATGCTCCAGACATTGTATGACTACTTCTGGTGGGAACGGCTGTGGTTGCCTGTGAATTTAACCTGGGCTGATCTAGAAGACCGAGATGGACGTGTCTACGCCAAGGCCTCAGACCTCTATGTCACACTACCCCTGGCCTTGCTTTTCCTCATCATTCGCTATTTCTTTGAGCTGTGAGCATACCAACTCACCCTGTGCCTTCCCTGGCTGTTAGTCTCATGGCCTTCAAGTTGTCTCTGTTAATTGGTCCGAGCCCCTGCTGTTGTGGCTACCCAGGCCCCTGTCTACTATATGCCTCCCACTAAACCACTGTTTTCCTGCGAGCTTAGCACCCCCAGGCCTTTCAATGGTTGTTTGTTCTCATCCCACTACCCTCCACCCAGCCTGGCCAGTAGTGAACACAGGCAGTTTTGTCAGCTGTGGGTAGCCCAAGGAGGCTGGGGTTGGGGGTTTGCCAGAAACTGGGGAAACAGGTCCAGCATGAAGTTGCCTGAACTTGCAGTCCTTTCCCCCTCTTAGCCTAGGTCTACCTGAGAAACTAGGTATTTCAAGGAAAGCCACACACCTCCTCACTCAGATCTCTTCCTTAGTTATGTGGCTACACCATTGGCTGCCCTTCTGAATGTAAAGGAGAAAACTCGGCTGCGGGCCCCTCCCAACCCCACCTTGGAGCATTTCTACCTGACTAGCGGAAAGCAGCCCAAGCAGGTAGGAGCTGCAGACCAAGCTCTGGGAGGTTGTGGAGGGGAATGGACCAGATAAGGTTGGGACAGCAGCTCTGTTGGGTGAAGAGATGAGAAGGCAGTGGGGCTTAGAGTGGATGGGGGAGGGGCACTGCTGAGTTCTGAAGTTGATAGCAACCGGCTTCTTCACCAAACCCAGGCAGAGGTTGAGCTGTTGTCACGGCAGAGTGGGCTCTCTGGTCGCCAGGTAGAGCGCTGGTTTCGCCGCCGCCGCAACCAAGACCGGCCGAGTCTCCTCAAGAAGTTCCGAGAAGCCAGGTAGAGGAGGTTGAACCAAGAGAAACTGATGGCAGAGGAAGGTCTGAGGTTTCTTGTTGAAAGGGTGGGTGGGCCATGGTTGTATGAAGACTATGAGGAGGTGAATTGAGTTATTACTAGTTCTGTTCCTGAGAGGCTGTTTGGAGGCACATGGGGGATGTTGGAGGGCTGTGCCATTTCCCACCCTATCTCCTAATGATTTCTGCTTCCTCTTTCAGTTGGAGATTCACGTTTTACTTGATTGCTTTCATTGCTGGCATGGCCGTCATCATAGATGTGAGTGGGGCTGCTGAGAATTGGGGAGTTGGTTCTCTGGCAAGATGGTGTAAGGTCATAGAATTTGGGTCTCTCTTCTTGTAACTGCTCATCATCTCTCTGCAGAAACCCTGGTTCTTTGACTTGAAGAAAGTTTGGGAGGGGTATCCCATACAGGTAAATAAAAAGCAAAAGTAAAGTACAAGATTAACAACAGCTGCCCTTTACGGGGTAGGGGAAATGGGAGAGAAATCCAATTATAATGCTTCGTTAAGTGGGGTAGCGATTAAGGGAGTCAGTTTAGGATAGGATGCACACCTAGATGGGTCTTTGGAAAATGCAGCAGCAGCAGGGACGGGTCACAGAACTACGCATCACCTCAAGGGTTAAAGGGCTGGTTTTGGAGACGTGAGACCCTTGAATCCAGTCACTTGGAGGCCCTTACCTCTCCCACCCTCTCTCCCAGAGCACCATTCCTTCCCAGTACTGGTACTACATGATTGAACTTTCTTTCTACTGGTCCCTGCTCTTCAGCATTGCCTCTGATGTCAAACGAAAGGTGGGTCATGGATTTGTGTCTTTAAGCCTAGGATCCAAAATGCTCTGCGATCAACAGCCTCCTCTTGAATTTCTGGCCACTTTGGAATAGAACCACTGGGACATAGGGAACTGAACTGGAGGGGAGGAGGAATAGTGGGAGCAGGGGAACAGAAATCTCCTGGAACCTGCACCTTCTCTATAGGATTTCAAGGAACAGATCATCCACCATGTGGCCACCATCATCCTTATCAGCTTCTCCTGGTTTGCGAATTACATCCGGGCAGGAACGCTCATCATGGCTCTGCATGACTCTTCTGACTACCTGCTTGAGGTCAGGCTTCCTGGACATTTGATCAAGCTTAGGAACCCTGCAGAGTCCCCCATCCCTGCTTTTTCTTTTTTCCTGGGGAGGAGATGGGGGAGGGGCGGGGTGTCTCTAGAACCTGAAAGGTGGGGCACAAAGCCAGTGCTGTAACTGGGGTATATGTATGAATGTGAGGGAACAAAAGTAGCCCATGATACAAATGGGGACTATTTATGTATGCAGTCAGCCAAGATGTTTAACTATGCGGGATGGAAAAACACCTGCAACAACATCTTCATCATCTTTGCCATTGTCTTCATTATCACACGACTGGTCATCCTGCCCTTCTGGTGAGTAGGTTATATTCCTTTAGAAATTAAGGTTCTTACCTTCTCTCTCCCTTTTCACTTATGCTTATAATTTTGTCTCCTCCCTGCTCTCCCAGGATCCTGCACTGCACTGTGGTGTATCCACTGGAGCTCTATCCTGCCTTCTTTGGCTATTACTTCTTCAATTCCATGATGGGAGTGCTACAGCTGCTGCATATCTTCTGGGCCTACCTCATTTTGCGCATGGCCTATAAGTTCATAACTGGAAAGGTAAAGGCTCTGTCCCATTTTATAGGCACTACTACCTTCAATTCTAGAAATTGTTCAGATTTCCTCCCCCACCACCAGCAGTGTCCTTTATCAAACTACAGTGAGTCCCTGAGTATAGCAGGAACAGGTCTAGAGAGAGGGGAGTTCTCAGAAGTCTTAAGACATGATGTAACCTTTCTTATCCCTTTCCACAGCTGGTAGAAGATGAACGCAGTGACCGTGAAGAAACAGAAAGCTCAGAGGGGGAAGAGGCTGCAGCTGGGGGAGGAGCAAAGAGCCGACCCTTAGCCAATGGCCATCCCATCCTTAATAACAACCATCGTAAGAATGACTGAACCATAGTCCCTGCTGCCCCCAGACTGATGATGCGTAAAGCTAAGGAACTGCCCCCCAACCCCACAGGGTAACTAAGTTCTGGGGAGAAAAGAGAGAGAGGAGAGCTCTTCTCTGTGTCCATCCTCCTTGCTTCTTTGTCACCAAGTTGCCTTTAAACCAAATTCGAACTCCTCCTACCCTCATGTAGAGGGGAGATTGGTTACATCCTGTTAGAGGGGGGTGGTCTTATTTTCCTCACTATCCTCCATGTTGTCCTTTCCATTGCTTTTGATGCCCCTTCCTCAACTCTAGAGGTGGGGTTTACAACTCACATTCCTTACACTTCAGAATTTGGCTCTAGCTGTTTGCCTTTGACTCCCTGACCTCCAGAGCCAGGGGTGTGCCTTATTGTCCCATATGTGGACCTCATTCTGCCAAAGTTGGACCACTTTTCTAAGCTCCTTACTTGGGCCAGAAACCAAAGCTAAGCTGCCTTTAACCTCTGTCTTCTCTTCTAAGACACAACCAGACTGAGTGTAGGAGGGTACACATGACCCTTACCCTACCTCTGCCAAAAGTGGGGACTGTGCAAATAGTCTTTCTTCGTGTTACTTCTCTGCCAGCTACCCCTGTAGCCACAAGTCCAAGATCTAGCTGCCTTCTCTGGCATCTTCCTCTTAGAATGGCAACTAGTTTAAATTTTTATTTATTAAACATTCGGGGTTTTGGTTTTAAAGCCAAAATTTCAGCTAGCTCCCAGCATTTTAGCAGAGGGACCATTTCAGACCAAAATGTACTGTTAATGATTTTTTTTAATTAAAATATATTAAAGATTAAGTAAAACATGGCAATAAGTGTCTGAGACTATTAGGAATTGAAAAAGCAGATAAACGAAATAAACTAAGATAGCCTTCTTTATGCTTCCTCATAGTTACATAACATTTTTTTTTAAAAATTTCACATGGTAAATAAAAAGCAAAAGTAAAGTACAAGATTAACAACAGCTGCCCTTTACGGGGTAGGGGAAATGGGAGAGAAATCAAATTATAATCTTAATTTTATCATCTTGTTAAAAGACTTCCAATTAACAATACAATACAAACTGGGGGTGGTAAACACATAGCCCCCATTCCAGGAATAAGTCTGCTGGAAGCATGAACACTTGAACGTGGGATGGGAGAAATGAGCAACAGAAGGTCTGAAGGGATGTCAGGCCCAGGTCAGAGTGGTAATCTCTCCACACGCCTTAGTACTGTAGGGGTGAAGGCTCTGCCTGCTAGCACCAAATTGGAAGGGATCTCCTGATCCAGAACCCCTATTTCTATCTACTAGGAGCTGGAGGAATTACTATAGACTTGGGGTTGGAATTCAGCAGTCAGGGAGACCCAATTCCTGAGGAAAGGACAGCTCACGGGGGTTTCAAAACATTTTGGAAAAGGTTGTCTTCTTCTAAAGAAGGCGCCCTCTACACTCGATGGCCCCACAGCAGCACAGGAGCTCCTTGCCTTCCACACTGCCCACCTCGTAGTTGTAGTCCCAAGTAAGTTCTGTCCCAGCCCGGATTCTCCTGGAAAGGAAGAAAAGGATGGGGTATGGTGAAGATATGAGGCAACCTACGCACCTAGGGCTGCACAATATGGATCCTTAGAATTCCAATGGTTCTTGCCCCTCCCCAACCCTGGCTTTTTTCTCCTCCCTAACCATCTCCTATTCTGACTCCCTCTTACTTGCTGGCAAAGAAGGCCACCCAGGGGAAGCGAAGATCATGGGTATCCACGAAGACATTCTGGACAAATAGGTTGGGGCTGCAGCTATGCTGTAGGTTCAAGGATAGGATAAAATTAGAGCCAGGGAAACATCACATAAGAATTAGAAAACAAGTGATAGCATCTGATCCTCCACATAATAGAGATATTTAGAAAGAAAGCTGCCTCTTTAAAATTCTTTGAGCTCACGAATTTATAGTAAGAAAAGGCAGGCTTAATAGCTGTGTTAAAAGATGGAAACATTTCAGGGTTATAGGACAATCCAGTGTCTGGTGAGGGGAAGGGTTCTCACATTGAGGTAGCGGCCCAGGTTGCCTTCAAGCTTGGCATCGATGATGTAGCAAGACTCTTCACCATCATAGAACTGGCGTGTGTTCTTACGAACAGGTGCACTCTCCCCTTTCTCTGCAGAGGCCATGTTTGTTGATTTAATGGCAATCCCATGGGTTGATTTAAGAGCAAAGCCTCGGGTTGATTTTACTGCTACTTGGCGTTTCATTGGACCTAGAAAGGAAGTAGAATGGTGTCAGGACCACTCTAATTCATGATCATGGACACTCTACCCTCAGTTTCATCCTCCTCGTTGCCAAAGAATACGAATAATCGAAGACTCTGAGGCAAAGATTCTAAGTGGCAGCTTTTTAAGCAGGTCTAGTTTGTTGGATGGAGTCCTGGTGTGGTGCTGTGGGTTAAAGCTCTGGATTGCAAAGTCAGTTTGAACCGCAAGATTGTTAGTTCAAGCTCACCAGCCACTCTTTGGAAACTCTATACAGGGTCGCTATGGGTTGGAACTGATTCAACGGCACTTAACAACAACAACAGTCTGTTTGATTAAGGAGTTGAGGGGAAAACAGTAGGGAACTGGATAGAAGAGAGGACGGGGGCATGCCAAATAGTTATTTACAGTTCTATTGGGCGTCAGGGAACCCTCTCAGAGATGCTTCAATTCTTAGTATCTAGATTTTCTCCCTCTATTTCTTTGGTTTCCTTTAAAAAAAAAAAAAAAAAAAAAAAAAGGTTGTCTCTCAACTTTCCTACTGTTCCTTCCCTTTGCCTCTAACCCCAATTCTTCAATTATTCTGGACTACCAGACATGTTCTTCTTGTCCTCAAAGTCATCCCCTTCAGAGCCAGAGGAGATGGTCTGGATATCATCACTGTCAACCGCTGTGGCTGAAGTCTGACCCGCAGTGGGCTTTCGGCTGGTCCCACTTTCCCCCTCACTTTCTGTGCTGCTGGAGAGTGTCAGGACATCCTGAGGGAAGCAACAAGGTGAGAAGAAAGAAGAGTAAACGTAGAGGGCCCTTTTCTCAAGTCCCTGCTTTTATCTTTGGTTAGGCAAGAAGGGTCTGAGTCTGTAGCCAGAGGAATATGAGGTGTTGAATTTAAAAAAAATCGGGTAGGAAGTCAAGCCAGAAAAGCCAGAAAAGACTTAACAGGATTCAGAGTGAAGGACTTGCTGAAGTGAGGAGAATACTCCTTTACTCATGCTGGAGATTATTCCTTCATTCAGGTGAGATAAAAGGTTGGGTATGGTACACCCTGAGACGGTTACTTACATCAGGGTTGGACTGAGCAGAGGCCAGGAGTCGTCGGCTTTGATGCATACTTGTTTTACTAGGTGGGCGACGAAGTCCTTCAGGCTTCACAGGAGAAGGATTGTAACCGTAATTTCTAGAGCTTTCAGAAACTCTGATGGGAGGAGATAGAATGAGAGAGTTAGAGTATTAGATGTTTCACAGATTATTGATTTGAGAAATGGCAGATTGGGAAAAAAGTCAAAAAGAGAGGCACTTACACTGACATCTTGTTTCTGTCATCAGGGTCCTGATAAAAAGAGCAAGTGAAGGGTTAAATACATTCAAGGTCCAAGGTTCCAAATCCAATAGTTAAACTTTATCATGAATGACCTCCAAAGACAACAGCAGCCAGTGAGAGATACACTGTTTAAAGAGTGATGTGTGAGGAGAAATTACTCTGCAATTAGACAGCAACAACTTACTTTCTCATTCCTAAACTCCTGGGAAAGGCCTTGAGCTTTCCCAATGATGATGAGAGAAAACACCATGAGTAGAATTTTATACAGACCAGGGGAAAAATGGACTGTAACGTGGAATGTCTCAACATCATCAAAAATAATATTAAGGATTCTTGTTTTTCCATTCTAGTAGGAGGATGCAATGATGTATATAATGTAAAAGAGCATTTAATTAAAAAAAATAATTTAAGGAGAGCGAATATCAATCAGGTTTGCCATAAAGTATCCATCAAATAAATAATTTGCATGTGAAGATTCATAATGAAATGGCATTAAATCTTTTATGACTGTTTACCAATATTTCTAGCTTCTCAGGTTTCTTGGGAAGCTAGTATCCCAGTTGTGATTGTGCTACCTCCTGCATAGCTGTGAATCTGAAGAAAGGGGTGTTGCAACACCAATCCTACCACCAAAATCTAGATGACTAAAAACAAAAGAAAACAAAAAAACCCACATTCAAAGCAGAGAACTATTTGGCCACAAAAGGGTTAAGTCTGTTATTGAACCAAAGTTAAACAAAATTGCTGCTCTGAGTTTTCTGCCACTGCTTACCTCTTTCTTGGTTGGCTTGATGTCCCCTTCTTCCTTGATGCCCAGTGCTGAAGTGGAGGCCCTCTCAACCTCCCCGCGGACTCCCCAGACTCGGCCTTCCCCACCTTCACTGGTCTTGAAGGATGACCGGCTGTCGGAGTCAGCAAAGCCACCTTCACTGACACTATTGCAGCTCAACCATGAGGCTACCTTATTTTTGGGTGTCTCTTCTGAGGAAGGTGGATTACAGCCACCTACAGGGAAAGATGGAGGAACAGGAATATGTGGGGGTCCAAGATCTGGGGGGCGGGAGTCCTTGGAAGCTGTCTCAGACAATCCATTCTCTTTCTGGCCCCGGGTCTGCCGCCGGGTCGCATAGCTGCGCCACACTGAGCTGGTGCTGAAGTCCTCATCCTTACAAAAGTTATCATCTGAACTATCGTCATTGGACTCTTCAGGGTCGTCAGTACCACTGTTGCCATCTTCCTGGTCCTTCAAGTCTACACCACTGCTGTCTGAGGAACAGGGGGCATCACTCTCATATCCTTCCTTAAAGTTCTCCACACTCTCGATATGGTCCAGATTTGCAAAGTACTCATCACCCATTTCCAAGCCCTCCTTGTCTGCAAAGTCATCTGTCAGGATCTTGCCTGGAAATGAAGAAAATTAAGGGCCCTCAGGGTTATGAAGACCTTTTAGAAGGAAAAAGGTCATTTCCTGAATACCCCATCTATCAGCACAGAGTCAAACTGGCTCCATTATGGTCTCTCATTCCTCTCTCTGATGATACTCCCTTTTCCTTAGTGTCTTAAGCAGGAGTACAAGGAACTCTTTGCTTTTGTTTACCTGAATAAATTTCTCAACTATGCTAAAAAATCTCTGGGGGTAGGGTGGACAAATGGGGGCACAAAACCAGTATATTGTACTCTATAATGTGTCTTCTTTGAGACATCATCACTTCTACAATCTCAATCTTGTCTTTATGGAGTACTTTTGTCCTTCCATGGCCCACCCAGACAGACACATTAGTCATCATGGTCCTTATAAAAGAAACCCTGGGCTTTTCTTATTTCTAGTTCACAAGCCAGCAGTCTTAACATGTTCAACTTGTCTCTGGTTCAATTCCCTACCATGTCCCAAACCCAGAAAACAAACCTTACATTTCATCACCAACCTGCATAAATACAGACAAAGGAGCCTTTGGCAATGTCATCCAGGCAGCGGATACCCCAGCCCTTGTTCTGGGTCTTAAATAACTGAAGTCGAACCTGCAGTCCATGCTGTACCAACCGGTTTGTGCACATGTTTGGGTCACATTTACAGCGTTTGTTACACTCGTATACCCTGGGAGGAAGAAAGAATAAAATGAATCATGACATGGTCACTAAAGCATCCATTAAATCCATAAAGTGTTATAACACTTAAGGCATCATCATTTATATGTCATGGGTAAAGACTAAAACTTACATAATGATCTAAGTGAGCTGATTTACTGAACTGCCTGTGTCCTTTAATTCATTTGGGAGTATAGCCCAAAGAAGGGGGAAAGGGGATGTACAGATGGTTACTGCAGTACAATTCAAAAGAGTGAGTACTAGAATGCCTAACAGTATACAGAGCTGTTATAGTAAGTACACAGATGACCATTTTGTAGAAATTTGTTGTGCCATCCAGTTGGTTCCAACCCATAGTGATCCTGTATAGGGCTTCTGAGGAGCTGCTGGTGAGTTTGAACTGCGGACTCTGCAGTTTAAACTAACCCTGCGGTCCAGTACATTAACCCACAGTGCCACAACAGGACTCCTTGTAAGTTCTTGTTGTTGTGAAGTGCTGTCGAGTTGATTCTGACTCATAGTGACTCTGTATAGGGTTTCCAAGGAGCAGCTGGTGAGCTTGAACCACCGACCTTGAAGTTCAAACGACTTTGCAGTCTGATGCATTAGCCTACAGCACCACACCAGGACTCCTTTTAAGAAGTAGATGCACAGAATATGTGAGAAAAGCAGAAACCAGTATGACAGAGATACTGAAAGGGAGTCAATAAACAGGAGGAGCAGGTATTAATCATGAGACTATTACTTATTTTTGGTAAAGCTGATTTTCATTCTTTAACCAAAGTTTATTAAATACTAAGATCTGGGAGCAAAGCAATGAAAAAGGACAACAATATGCCTTCAAGGGGCTCATATTCTATTAGTTTATAATTCAATAATTACTTTAAAAAGTAAGCTATAAAAATTAATCAGATCTGGCAAATATTGACATTAAAGGAAGATAATAGTTATATGGAAACACAAATAATAACCTTTCAGACATTGTTTCTGCTCAGTTTGCTGTGTTTAGTGTTAGAACTATTTCTTATTCTCTTGGTATGTAAGTTTAAGGGAGTTACTCACTTTTGGAAAGATTACAACAGTCACTGGTGATAACTAGTCAGATCCTTCTGAGATTTTAATCAGGATGATAAAAGATGTATGAGCAGCTCCTGTTGACATACTGTGTCTGGCTTTGTGTAAATGCTTTATACAGTCTTTTTTTTTCTATTCTCAAAACAGCCCTATAAGGATACATTTTTTAAAAATTTAAAATATTATTGAAGTATAAATAAAATACACATACAATCCACAGTCCAATAAAGTTTTATAAATGGAACACTACATGTCAACAGTATCAGATCAAGAAATGGTTTTCTCTTGTTTGTTGGTTGCTGTAAGTCAGCTCCAACTCCTGGTAACCCTTACATGTAACAGAATGAGTTGTTGTTTGAGCCTGTGTCCTCTTCATGACTGTCACTATGTTAAGTCCTCTGTTGTGGCTACTGTGTTAATCCATAACATTGAAGGTTTCTCTCATTTTCTATGACATTCAATTTTACCAAATATGATGTCCTTTTTATTTTAGCTACTAGTCTTTCCTGATATGTGAGTTGAAATCTCACATCTTTACTTCTAAGGAACATCTGATTTTATTTCTTCTAAGACTAACTTGGAGTTCTGGTGTCTCGCTGTGGGTTAATGTGCTGGACTGCAAAGTCGGTTTGAACAGCAAGCTCGGTGGTTCAAGCTCACCAGTTGCTCCTCAGAAACCCTTAAAGGGTTGCTATGAGTTTAAAAAGCAAAAAATGGCACTTTTTAAAAATAGCAAAGATGTCTCTTTGCTTTTTAAAACTTTAAAGCAGATTTGCCCAATGCAAAATGTCATTTGATTTTGCTGCTTCCATGGCTTAAAATGGGTCTGCAGACGGTGTCTGATCTCTTCTGACTACACAAGAAAGGAGTACCAAACTCTACATTAGCCCATGGCTGATTCCTATGAGGCCATGGTCAGACATCCTGCATTACCCTACCTACTCTGACACCAACCATCCCTCCCATGGCACTCTACTGCTCTGATGGATTTGAGAATCCATTGCAATGGCCACACAGAACTCACAAACAATACTTAGGATTATGGGGTTTATTAGGGAAGTTAAAAGGGTATAATTCAGGATCAAAACAATTCATACAGCAGTTCTCTAGTCCAGAATGACTCTACTCAGCTGTGCTACAGGCCTGCCTCTCTCTCCTCCTCAGCTTCTCAGTCACATGGTCCCCTTGGCTTTTGCCCTGCTCGGGTGCAAGCGTTACAAGCTCCTTTAGTGCTGCTGATAAATATCTGAAGGGCCCACAATTCTGCAAGCCAGCCTTCTGCCTAAAGGTATTCAGCCTCACTTGCCCATGGGCTGGGGAGTCCACTGCTCTCTCGGTGCTGCCACCTCTGCCATTTCTCCGCAGGGATCTTGAGGTTCATTCTGCTCTGCTTTCTTGAAGGTCTTAAGATCCTCCTCCTTGCTTCTGAGATGGCTCATCTAAAATGCAGAGGGATGGCCAAACCAACCATTCACTCGGTGTGTATTATGAAGACTATGGATACAAGAGCCTTATCAAGTAAATTCAATGTACCACACATGGGACATTGATTGCTGATCCAAGTAGAATGAAACCCCTGACAACTTGAATTTCTTTTCTGTTTATCGTGATGCTACCTGTCTAGTTGTACAGATTTCAGCTTTCTTCATATTCATGCATAACCCATACTGAATGTTGTAATCTTTGACCTTCATTAGTAGAAGCTTCAAGTTGTTTTCATTTTCATCAAGCAAGGTTTTGTCATCTGCATATTGCAGGTTGTTATAATGAGTTTCCTCCAATCCCAATGATGCATTTTTGACACACAGTTCAGCTTCTTGGATTCTCTGTTCAGCATACAGATAGAATAAGTAATTCCAATTTAAACCACGCAGTATCCCTTTGTTCTGTTCCAACAACTGCCTTTTCATTTATGTGTAGGTTCTACATGAGGACAATAAAATGTTCTGGAATTTCCATTCTTTATAATGCTATCTATTATTTAAGATCCACACAGTTCAATGCCTTTGCATAGTCAATAAAACACATGTAAACATCTTTATGGTGTTCTCTGCTTTCAGTCAGTAAGCATCTGGCAACAGCATATCCTCTTGTCAATCTAGCTTGAATGTATGTTGTTGTTGTTAGGTGTCATTGAGTCGGTACCTATCCACAGCAACCCTATGCACAGCAAAATGAAACACTGCTCAATCCTGAGCCAACATCACTACTGTTGCCACACTTGTGTCCATCTATTCTGCCACTTGGTCAATCCATCTCATTGGGGGTCTTCCTCTTTTTTTTATGACCCTCCACATTACCAAACATGATATCCTTCTCCAGCGGCTGGTCCCTCCTGACAATATGTCCGAAGTATAAGACATGAAGTTTGGCCATCTTGGCCTCCAAGGAGCACTCTGGCTGCACTTCTTCCAGACGGGTCTATTGGTTCTTTTGGCAGCCCATGGCATCTTCAATACTCTCCTCCAACACCATAACTCAAAAGCATCAATTCTTTTCGGTCTTCCTTATTCAATGTCCAGCTTTCACATGCATATGAGGTTATTGAAAATACCATGGTTTGGGTAAGGTGCACCTTAGTCCTCAAGCTGACATCTTTGCTCTTCAACACTTTAAAAAGGTCTTGTGCAGCAGATTTGCCTAATGCAATACGTTGTTTGATTTCTTGGCTGCTGCTTCTTTGAGTGTTGATAGTTAATCCAAGAAGAATGAAGTCTTTGACAACTTCAATCTTTTCTCCGTTGATAAGAATGTTGTATATTGGTCCAGTGGTGAGGACTTTTGTTTTCTTGACATTGAGATGTAATCCATACTGAAGGCTGTGCTCTTTGATCTTCACCAGTAAATGTTTTAAGTTCTCTTCACTTTCAGCTAGCAAAGTTGTATCATCTGCATATTGCAGGTTATTAATGAGTCTTCCTCCAATCCTGATGCCACATTTTTCTTCATATAACCCACCTTCTTGGATTATTTGCTCAGCATACAGATTGAATAAGTATGGTGAAAGAATACAACCTTGTCGCACACCTTTCTTAATTTTAAACCATTCAGTGTTCCCATGTTCTGTTCGAACAAGTGCCTCTTGGTCCATGTACAGATTCCTCATGAGTACAAGAAATGTTCTGGAATACTCATACTTCGCAATATTGTCCAAAGCTTGCCATGATCCACACAATCAGAAAGCCTTTGCATAGTCAATAAAGCTTGAATGTGTAGGTGTAGTCATTTTTGAATTATCTTCAACAAAAATTTGTTAGCCTATGTGATGTTAAAGGAGCTCTGGTAGCGTAGTGGTTACGAATCGGGCTGCGAACCTTAAGGTCAGCAGTTCGAAACTACCAGCTGCTCCGCGGGAGAAAGATGAGGTTTTCTACTCCCGTAAGGATTTACACCCTCGGAAACCCTGTACAGGGTCGCTATGGGTCGGAACCGACTCGACGGCACTTAACAACAACAACAACATGTGATGTTAATTTAATTCAATAATTTCTGCATCTCATTCAATCACCTTTCTTTGGAATGCTATGAATATAGACCTCCAGTCAGTTGGCAGCTGTATTCCAAATTTCTTGACACAGATGATTAAGTGCTTCTAGTATTGCATTCATTTGTTGAATCATCTGAATTGGTAATCCTGGTACCGCCTTGTTTTCATCAATGCCTTCAGTGAAGCTTGAACTTCTTCCGTCAGTTCCAGCAGTTCTTAATCCAGAAATGGTCAAACATTCCCAATTTTGTTTTTTTTTTTTTGGTACAATGATTCTGTGGATTCTTTCCATTTTCTTTTTTTTAATTGTTTCTGAAAACATGTTTATTTACTTAAGAGTTTAAAACATACCATTATAATTACAAAAAGAAAACAAAAGCTGTTACTTCACATGGCAGTGGGCAACTCTTGGTATTAAGCTGCAAGGTCTATAGCCAGCTACATGACTG